CGTCCTGCGCATGCGTGGAAGCGCGGAACTCGTCAAAACCGGGTAAGGACCGCGGGCGGGCGGATGCGCCCTTCGCCATTCCCGAAAGTTACTTACTTCCGGGTTCGCCGACCAACCGGTTCGCAGGGACCGCCGCAAACCGGTTGAAACCCACCCCTGATTTGGGCACATCTCAGTCATGACTCATTAACTGGTATTAGGAGGTGCATTCTTTAACCCCAAAACATGAGAACTGATGGTGTGAGCTAGAACAAATTCTTTTCTGCAGCTGGATCAGTTCCATCATATAATCTGCAATTTGCATTAGGGATTCCGCAAGATTAGTATTTATAATATGCAAATTCCATGTTCATTGCAATTCTGTCTACTGGCCCTAAGAGTTTCTCCATGTAATGTGCACGTGGTGGCACAGTGGTTAGAATGCGGTATTGCAGATTAATTTACTGCCGACTGCCAGGAGTTTTGGCCTTGAGTTTCAGCTCAAGATTGACTCAGCCTGCCATCCTTCCGATGGTCGGTAAAATGAGGACTCAGATTGTTGTGGGGACAATAGGCTTACTCTGTAAAACCACTCAGAAAGGGCTGTAAAGCATATGGAGTGATATATAAGTCTAGGTGCTACCGCCCATGTGTATTACAGGAACATTTATAACATCTATATAATGCATATACAATTTATAGATAGATTTATAAGTGCTACTCTGTTAAAATGAATTTCACGTGGCTGTTTCTTTCTTCTATCCCATTAGGGAGACAGAGGCCCTAATGGCCCCCCAGGCCGTTCAGTAAGTAACTGAAAAATAAGAAATATCTTATTTTTTAAAAAAATCTGTTTTTATTGGATAACTGAATTCATTGATACGCAATTCACTGCTATAGGGTCCTGATGGCGATGCTGGAAAACCAGGTGTCCCTGGATTGCCAGGAGTACCAGGAGCTGATGTGAGTATAAATCTTTATAGTATCAATCTATGGTATCATATAAATCTTTGTGGTATCATTCTAAGCTGTTTCTAAAAAGGTTCTTTTCATTTCGAACCTATACTGGGTGTGAAAGTGACGAGCTGCATTTCTTGAAACTGGGAGTCCTTTATTTCACAATTCCTTTAAATTCAGGCTGAATACTATAAAATCATAGGGTTGAAATGGATGTTGTGGTGTTCATCAAGTCCAATCCTCTATCAAGTGCCCCAATATTCGTACTATCCTAGACAAATGGAAATCTTTTCTTGAAAACCTTCAGGGTTGGGCCATCTATATTTCAAAAGGTAGTCTGTTCCACTGCTTAATAATCAGGGAATTAATTTTTTTTCCTTCCAAATTTGGATCTCTCCAAATTTACCCAATGGTTCTTGACTTACCTTTGAATATTCTTTGGCCTATGTTTCTGTCGTTTGAAAAAAAATATTTCAATGCTTGAAAAAAATAATGTCTAGGAGGTCAGGACTTGGTTCATCAGCACAATCACCCTCTGAAAACTGAACTTAATGGGACAAAATGTGATACAGTGAGAGGAATTAATAATGCTGTGGGAGGGGGGGAAAGCCCCTCATAATATTTCCCCCATTGCCAACTGCTCCATTCCAAACTCTTCTGCTTGGTGTCATGATTTAGAGCAGAACTCCAAAAGTAAGAGACTGGAAAGAATTCTATATTTTTCATGCATGCTTTCCTTAAGTTGTGTGCCCTATGCTGTTAGGGATTTAGAAAGAATCAGCACCTGAGAATGACCGGTTGTTATAGATAGCTACGTAGTTCGAGTTCATCCTTCACTCTCCAGAAGGTGTTTGCCTTTGCTGGGTGACAAGTCTGAGAACCTATGGAGTGTTTCACGAAGGGGAAGTATATTCTAGGCACTGGACTCAATGGTCTTATCAAAATCTTGTTTATTTACATACAATTTACACAGTGGTGACTATTTCCTCCATATATAAGCAGACATGGTATAATTTATACCTATTCGTGTTTGTTCAAAAAACTCCCAATCTATTTTTTTTTTAATCGGAACAGTTCAAAAACTTTGACCAAACTGGTGAAAAGTCTTCCTTCTTGCCCCATTATCAAAAAAGACTAATTCAAATGTACACACACACACACACACACACACACACACAGTGTCTCACAAAAAATACATTGCTGCAAATTAATTTATCTTTCCTATGTTCAAAACTGCTGCAGCCATTCCATATACTTAGGAAAGCCACAAATTATATTTTGATACCTACAACTAGGGATATAACAACAACAACAACAACAACAACAACAAAAACCCATACAGATATATCTTCCAGAGACTGANCCTAAACCTAACCCTTACCTTAAGTTGAATCGGCTTGCTTTCAAAGCGCTGTTTAAAGCGCCCTTCTTTCTCCATGCTGGCTGTTGTCGCCCTATTGATGACATCAGCGACGCTGTTTAATCGGGCACGGCTTAGTCGAGCGCGGTTTTGATGGGTCACGACCAGCTTTAGAGTGGTTCTATTGCTGAATGATGATGATCAATAATCAAGTATCAGTTTTATAAAATTTCTCTTTTTCTTGCTCTCTTCTCAGTTTGAGATCCAGTGGCTGATGATTCATTGTGACCCCCGGCGCCCTCAAAGAGAAACATGCAGTGAACTTACAATCAGGAGCTCGGTAATCTTAAGGGCAAAGCTTACTTTTCAAGTTTAGAATACAGGTAGTCCTTGGTTTACGACCATAATTGAGCCAAAAGCTTCTGTTGTTAAGCGAGACATTTGTTAAGTGAGTTTTGCCCCATTTGATGACTTTTCTTGCCACCATTAATTAAGTGAATCACTGCAGCTGTTACTCACATGGTTGTTAAGTGAATCTGGCTTCCTCCTTGACTTCGCTTGTCAGAAGGTCACAAAAGGGGATCCCAGCATCCTGGAACACAGCAAAGATCATAGATATGAACCTGTGGCCAAGCATCTGAACTTCGATCACATAAGCATGGGGATGCTGCGAAGGTTGTAACTATGAAAAACAGTTGCATTTTTCAGTGCCGTAGTAATTTTGAACGGTCGCTACATGAACTGTTGTAAGCTGGGGTGGGTTGCTGGGGATTCACAGGGGTTCAGGAGAATCTCTAGCTAAGATTCTGTGCAGTTTGGAGAACCCCCAAATCTCACTCCTGGGTTGCCCCGTCCACCCTGCCCCACCCCTCCCGGGAGTCCCCACAAAGCCCGTTTTAGATGCAGGTAAGTGCAGGGCACAGGTAGAGGCTTGGGGAGGGTGAAAAATGGGCCTAGCACAGTGTTTCTCAACCTTGGCTACTTGAAGATGTCTGGACTTCAACTCCCAGAATTCCCCAGCCAGCATTCGCTGGCTGGGGAATTCT